CTTTTAAAGATGGGTTGAATGAAGATGTACATCAAAGCTGTATTGCCAGAAGAGACCCCAGGGAGCTGCAGCTGTGGTACGTGCTGGCAGCAGAAGTGGAAATTGATCTGACCCGAAACAGACACACCGGGGGGGTTCGGTTGGAGCAAATCCTCCCCCCACCCAGCCCTCAAGAAGCCTTAAAACCTCAAAAGGGAGGAATGGCGGCAAAACCCAAGACCACTGCTTGCTTCCGATGTTGGAAGGAAGGTCACCGGGAAGTGAGCTGGAGGTGTTACAAACCAGAACTGTATAAGCTGGGGTGTGTGTGTGTGTGTACATTCTTGCTTAGGTTTCTATCCTATGCTATGCGCAGCTGCAACCCTTTATCAAACTAGTCAAGGTCAACGGACAGAAGTCTCATCACCACCTGGAGATGTCCACATGAGGATATACACAACTTTTAATTGGATGAGCCAATTGAACTATTGGGGGTGGGAACGTTGCCATTACTTTGTATATGTGATTTACGCGCCCATTTTCTCAGATTCAGAATTCTTTTGTTGCTGCCACTTGATTTCCAGTAAAAGATATCTTTTCTCTGATTAAAGGAGTCCAAGTATTTCTTTCTTGGATTTTGAATGGAGCACCAGCTGACAAAGCCCTTCACCCGTGTAAATGGCTCCAGCCTCTTAACATATTATTTGCACCTCAGGAAATCACAAGGGGGGGGGAACCAATATTAAGGCCTACCTGATGTAACCGATAGCCACACATAGCCTACGGAATAAATTCCAGGTGCTCCTTCTATCAACTCGTACAATTTCGAATCTTCTCTTCTTAATTGTTGGATGCGAAGAGTACAATTTTGGTAAATGAACTCCCGCCCCGTATACTGTGGTCCTTGTGAGGTCCCGTATACTGGGCGCCGGTACCTAGTTCCAATTTCCTGCATTGTACTTGGAGATATGCCCCTGGACCACTTGCAGTAGACAATCTCATCCCTGGGTAGTGGGGGCACCAAGAGTCCCTGAGTTGTTATCATGGGTTCTTGAGGAGTGGCCATAATATTGATTGAGTCTCCCGCTCCTGCAAGATGGAAGATGGCGGCTGTAGTAGAGGAGGAAAGAGAGAGAGGGAGGTAGGGGAAACAATAATGATTCTGAGCCAAATAAATTTTTTAAGCAAGAAGCCCATTGAATTAAATTGTTCTTTGCAGAAACAAACCTTTCTGGCAAATGTTGTTGCATGTTGATTTGAGAGTACAATATTAAGAGGACAACCTTCTTGATAAACAATTGACGAGACCTTGGAGTATGTTAAATTATTGGAGTTCAAGTGATTCAGGTTCTTATTTTCCCCCCCAAATGCTATGAATTTCCAGCAAAGCTGTATATTTGGCACTGTATATTGGACTTTAATACAGTTGAGTGAGTCCAGAAATATTTCACAAGAAGAGTGCTTCACTCCTCTGCTCACAACAGAATACCTTACACCACCAGACTTGAGTTTTTGGGCTTGGGCAACCTAAAATTACGTCGCCTACGGTTGGACTTAAGCATAGTACACAAAATTATCTGCTACAATGTCCTACCAGTCAATGACTACTTCAGCTTCAACTGCAACAATACAAGAGCACACAACAGATACAAACTCAATGTAAACTGCTCCAAACTTGAGTGCAGAAAATATGACCAACAGTGGTCAATGCCTGGAAGGCACTACCTGACTCTGTTGTTACATCCTCAAACCCCCCACTCCTTTAACCTTAAACTATCAACTATTGACCTCACCTCATTCCTAAGGTCTGTAAGGAGTGTACATAAGTACAGCATCGTGCTTACCATCCCTGTCCTATTGTCCCCATTTATTCATACCTATTCATACCTGTCCAAAGCACCATCCACCAGGCACGCTTCCCTCCGGGGATGCTGCATACACTATCCATTGAGCAAGATGACTTTCTCAGCACTGGAAAACTAGAAACTCACTAGAAGCTCCAGAAACTGGAGGGCCACTGACCAAGCTTTTATCTTGAAGAACCTGGCAGGTGAAAGGTGTTTGTTTCTTATCTCTCAGCCTCCACATCATTACACAGAGCCAGCTTGTTCTTTCCAAACAGGTGTAGGAAGATTCACGAAGTTTTAATGTGCAACAAGGAAAGTGTAAATGTGCTAGCCAATCTACAAAGTTTGTCATTACTGAAAGAATGGATCATGGCTACCAAGTTCAAAGCATTAAAAAAATGATTTACCAAATTTAAATGCTGCCCAACTCACCTACAGGTAACTAACTTTGTAACTTGTTACAAAGGTCTATGGTTATGGCATCTGTGGTACATATCGCAGAGGTCATTTAGCCTTGGGTTATAAGCAGGCATAAAGAAAAAGGTCATATTTGGATATAATTCCTGTGAAATTATCAGTAGTTCTGATGCAAAGATAGCAAGAAGCTTTCTTCAAATGATTTTCCACAGAAATCAATACAAAATGTCACTAAATGACTCATTGTAAGTCAAGGGCTATCAGTAGCTCTCTTGAAAGTCCTTAACGGCTTGGGAGTGGGTTATTTATGGTGCCATTTGTGCCTGGTTCTTTTTACCTGTCTGTTGAGGTATAGGATTTAATAGCTGTAAGGCTGATGCAATGTAAGGCTGATGCAACTGAAGACGAATCAGCATTGGTATTGCCCTTTTAAGATGAAGAATGAGTTCTCAGAAGTCTTTACCCCTTTAAGAGGTGTTTATATAAGGCTGACATTGTAGAGGGCATGTTTTCTCTCCTTGTGTCCTGTATCCATTGCAGAGTTCTCCATGTAGAGTTAAGAAGATTGATTGCTTGTCAGGTATTCGACTACCATGTATATTTCTGTATATAACTGTCTTGTAGATAAACCACTGTTAAATG